TTTTTTACTTTTATCAACGTGGAAGGAAATTCGAGCTTGTTATCTCTATTGGTGCTCATGCTCGATAGATGACTTTAGACAGAAGAGTAACACTAAATTATAGCGAAAAGGATATAAGCGTCAACTGGGAATATTGAAAATATAAATACTATCAGATTGAAAGTTAGTTGGTAAAGTGTTAACTATATATATATTCTCAAGTTAGTCAAGTACGAGATAGGAAAAAGGGAGTTTTAACGCAAAGTCTGCGGTACTGTTCACTTTAACGAAAAATTATATTTTTATATTAAAAAATCAAATCTGATACTATTCACTTTACCTTTTATTTTGTCTTTATCGTTAAAAGTCAAAGTTTTCAAGCCATTTTCATTAGTTTTCCTTAGGAAAAATGCAAAAAGTTTAAAGACTATGGTAAAAAGTTCAGCCACTAAATGAAATTTTAATAATGATTTAAAGTGTGTAATCAAATGACATTTTAAAATAAATATGTTAAAAATACGTATATTGTTGAATCCCACATCGGCTATAGTAAAAAGGTAAGTAATAATTTAAATATCCTAACCCCACTTTAACTAACAATGAGAACTTTTGTGATAAAACTCCACACCTGACGAATTGTGGATGTGGTAATTAACAAGTTGTAGACAATATCGGTGTTGTTAGAAGGGGATCTTTGGCCAGTTTCTCTAATAATTCTACATATATAATATTCAAAAGTATGTACTTGCATGTATACATTTGATTTGTTTGACAATGTGTATTTTTTCACATCATTTGAGAAAGATACAAAAGCATAAGTTTTTTACAAAAATATGTGCATGCAAATATGTATATTATAGTTGGTGAAGTAATTCCACGCTTCTTTTTTATCCTCATGCACTTCTTCATTTTTTTTTTTTTTGGCTGAGTCAATCAATGCATAATTAACAGGAGCCGAAACAAATTGAGGAGTGTAGAAGGACGAAAAAGAGTGTAAAAATTCCTATTGTATATATATGTGCGAATTTACTAAGATCACCATCAAGTTAACCAAAATCAACGTCGGAAATGCTTGCAATGGGATTACGAGTCAAACTGCAGGACTTCATTTCCATGCATGAATCTAAAAATATAAGATCGACCGTGGATCCAAGCCACCTGCTGCTTCTCAAATGAGTGTGTTACAGCGATCCGGTGACTAGTCAAGAAAAACAACAATTAATAAGAATTGTTGTGACCTCGGTTTTATAGCACGTTTGGTTTGGTAATGACATCTGCAGAAAAGCTTCTAGGTGTATTGGCTGTGAATGAATATATATATTAGCCGTCCGTGTTATATACAGGTAAATATATACAGTGGCTAGTCTTTTTATAAGGATGCGTGTCTTTATTCCCGGAAAAGGACCAGAACTATTGTTTGGAGTTTACTATCTCTTGTCGGTCAGCTGAACAGTCATTTGTTAGCTTTTTCTGTTGGTTACGTGGAGTAAAAAATAATCACAAGGCGACACGTTGATTTTTGAACAAAAAAAGATAAAAATACCCTTGAGGTACAATGGGATTCCTACGCGCGAGCAGCGAGCAATCATCGTTCAACCAAATCAAAAGTGCCCAAAATAGGTAACAAATTCAAAGGTATTTCATCCATCCTCATCCTATATTTTCCACAAGGTAATTATTTCATAACCTTCAAAACATCCCATATAAATTACATAACCCCCAAAATATTTATTACAAAAATGTGTTGATTAACCGATTAATTGATTAATTGCCTAATTAATCCATTAAATCACACATTAAACCATAAGTTACACCCTATCCCTATAAATATACTCCCATTTTCACCAAAAGATCATTCCAACACACTTGCAAAATTCCCAATACTCTCCAAACACTTTTCTCTCTAAATTCTAACTTTGGCATCCGAGGTTCTTCGGCCAAAGCCCCCCCATTCATCGTGGGCGCGTGAGGCTTTTGGCCTTGATCCTAAAGTGTTAATTATTTTGTAGGTGCAATTTTATCCAAAATCAAGAAGGAAGAAATTTGCATCTACAAGTTACAATTACATCATGCATTTAAATTTGAAAACACTTCTGTAATATTTGGTGCGGCAAATGACGCATACATGCAACCTTTGTGAATGATTTTATGTGCTTAGTTAACTCAAAGGCTTTTGCTAATATTGTGGCATGAAGTTCATTTTAATACATAACAGAGAATCTATGGTTAATATTTTACGAAAGGGAAACCATTCGAACCTAATTGAACCCATCCTTTACTATCAAATGTGTGATCAATACTTTCTAAATATTTAATTCAATTTATTTTACTTCAATAATTTAAAATTAGTTCGTTTGGAGTACGCCATAATTTTTCCTGATAATAAGAACTCTTTCTTTCATGTAACGTGTGTTATACGTATAGGCCACCGTATCATACATTTTTTTTTTGTTTTTGTTATAGGCTAAATTGTAGCAAAGATATCAGATACATATTGATTACAGTTTTTGTTTCTAAACTCTACTAATAGTTTACTAATAGATACATATTGATTATAGTTACTCTTATCCTCAAATTATATCATTTGTTGCAATAGTAGTCTATTCTTCGTTAACACGATCAACTTAATAGTTAAGTTGAGGGATAAAATAGGAATTTCATTCAAAAATATCTCATGACCTATTCACATAACTTTTTGCTTATAATCGGAAAAGATGACAAATTTGATGGAATGATCACTTTGCAATGCAGAATTAAGTTAGAGGATGAGAGAAACTAACATGAAAGTTCAGAGACGAAAACTAAACATGAGGCAAAGTTCAGAAACCTTCGCTACCACACACCCTTTTGTTGAAAAAGAGAATGGTTGGACTCAGTTACATCTTTGAGAATATAAAACATATATTAGACGGAATCTTGGACATGCTTGGTTTTTAGTGTTTGGTTTTAAGACCAAATATTCCAAGTCTACTTTGACAATTGACATGCGTAAAAATAACGGATTAACACATTTTCGTACAGCATTAGGTGATCATTAAAGTTTAATCTACTATTTAATAGTCATGTATACATATATACAAGGCTACTTGTACAAGTTAAACCATATCTAATTCATGGTCGCAATCTCTATAATATTAACTATATATATTCTTATTATCCTTGTCTATTGCCAACCTAACCTCCCCATTTTAGGCAAGAAACACCTTCCCAAAATACCTAATTAAGACCAACCACCAAGGTGATAAACCCCAAACCCTAGACTAGCCTAATCTCCCATTATTTTTAGGATGAATAAAAATACCACCTACTAAAAACGAATTTGAACTACTTTATTGCTAATTCATTCTAAGACTAAGTTCATCCTCTCTTCCTTAGTGTAGATAATATCGTTTGTTCAAAAAAAAAAACACAAAAAAAAAAAAACCACCTCCTAATCCATTTCCTAAAAAAATTCAATAAGGCCATCACACCAAGGAGACCGGGCTTGATTGTCTTGTACGTCTATGGTGGTGATATAGAGAGAGAAAGTGTGTACTCATTTCATATAAGTTTTGTTCCACACTTGAACATGATGAATAATATATCCTTTTATAGATTTACAAAAGAAAGAAGGCTACAAGACATGTTAACATAATATTTGGCTCCTTAGATGTAAGGAATCATTTTTTTTACATGATCACACGATATTATTTTACTGTACAAACGTCATAGTCCAAACTATTTATTCTCTTTATCATCATGTAAAGATCATTTTTACATAAAAAAATCACTTAATTTGGAGACCATTTAGTCATCCATTTGTGTTGAACGAATCAATGATTATGGTAACAAATAATATCCTCATACTTAACCCTCAATTTGTTTTGTTCATATGAATGACTAAATAGTCGCTAAATCGAATTTGTTTCTTTCGATTTCATATTTAGATAATGATAAAGAGAATGAACTGTTTAAATTATAACGTTCGTAAAATGAAATGATGTCACGTTATCATATAAAGAGAAACGACTCATCAGTGTCCATATACAATGTTTTGAATGGACATACTGGAAGTCAAGTCTCCAAGAAAAACGTAAAAGTAAAAATATACTAAATTGGTTGGATGGTTAAATGTCAAGGAGGAATCTTCTTCAACGTGAAGTAAATGGCATGTAAGTTACCAACATAATAAAAAACATTGAAGGCATATAGGATATATTCAACTTGATTTTCTAGTAGGGTGGGGAGTGGGGACTGTTCTGTATTTTAAGGAAATTTACAAAAATAGGTAATTATTTAGTTGTATAACTTGTACTACATCACATGTGTAACGCTCCATTTAACTGGAGTTTGACTGTTAGCTTTAAACATGAAATATGTTTAATGTCCTTTCTTACACCTACCTTTCAAATTCGATTTGTTTTTTTTTTTAACAAACGATAATATCTACATTAAGGAGGAAGATATGGGCTTAGCCTCATAATGAGCTAGTAATAATGTGATTCAAACTCGTATTTGGCGAGAATTGAACGTAAAATCTCTTACTTATAAGTGAAAATAAATACAACTAGACCGTAATATTAAGTGATACAATTCAAATTCGATTTAATTTCGATGTTTTTCTGTTTTGCTGTTGGGTTACATCTCAACAGTTCAAATATATCCATTTGCTACATTTTCTCCAGAATGATAACAGATGGGGCACCGGGATGACAACTTTTACATTTTGTATTTTTGTTTTCTTTGTTTTTTTTGTTTTTTTGCACTTTTGGCTATTTAACGTAAAAGCATCATTCTGCTTTACATGACCATGTGATCTTATTTTGTCGTACAAAAAATATAATTAAAATTGTTTATATTCTCTTTATAACTATTTGATAATATTGAACAATTCATTTGATTTAAAGACCACTTAGCCATCCATGTGCCAAAATAATCAATAATTGTGGTATAAATAGCATTCATGATAGAGTCAATTTATTTGATTCATATAGATGACTAAATACGGTTTTCAAATCAAACAAATTAATTGATAAATACAATAAACAAATCGAATTTCGACGTTTATATACTGAAATAGTGTCACATCATGATGGAAGGAATAATGACTCCTTATAAGTACAGAACCTAAGTATTATCCTTTACAATCCAAAGCAAATTTGTATACTTCACCCCAAAAAAATCAAATAAACTAAGTACACAAAGCGAACTAATTCTTCATTTTAAATCATTACCATACAAATAAAATCCAAGCAAAAAATTATAAAAGAAAACAAAAACAAAAACTAGAGATAATAAATTAGATTACAAAGCCCCAACCAACTCTAGTCTGCTGAGAGTTGGCCATACGATTTGTGTGCCTATAAATTAACAATTTCGTCAAACCACCAAATCATCAACAAATTCAAAGGAAAATGGTGTAACAGAAGCTCAACTGCAGTCTGCAGTGATTTTTATACCCACCTCCTTATCATTTCTTAGCAAGTAATTAAAGATTTGTGCTTCTATCGATCCAGATACGCTCCTGATTTCGCTAACCAAACCTGTCGTGCAAAAACAGCAGCGATTTTGGATTAAGCATGATAAACAAATAGAACCCAGATTTACAAGCAATCAACCAAACCTGTCGTGCAAAAACAGCAGTGATTTTGGATTAAGCATGATAAACAAATAGAACCCAGATTTACAAGCAATGTCAACGAAATAAACAACTATGTATCATCTAAGACAAAATGGTCAACACACGAAAAGTTTGGTATGCTTCGATGAATCTTTAAGTATACTAAATTCAGGGTAAAGAATGTCATATTTCTAATGTAGTTTCGATAAGCCTAGAAGGATGAAAGGGAGAAACGAAAACTAGCGAATGAGGATGCTCACCAACATATGTAACGACTAAAATCAGCACGGAGAAACAATAACTGCTGATAGCTGATCTCTATTAAAACCGAGTCATTTGCTGCATCATTTGAGAACCAGTTGATTGTGAAACCAACTGTTCTGCACCAGGAGATGGTTTTATTAAGTGGTTTGCACCAACTGGATTGCCAAACCCTCTGATCATCTCTTTAGGCGTATTGGGATTTGTGTCCAGGTTTGACGATTCCATCAGTGCCCGAATCTAACCAAATGGTTGGTTGTAGACCAACTTTCAGTTTTTCGTTAAGAAAAAGAATATTAAAAGTAAGAACATATACACAGAAAATTCAAACTTACCACATCCAAACGCTTCTTATGGAGATCACTCGACAACTGTATGTTTTAAAAGCAAGGTATTCCAATAAATCTCTTGGGTTGAAAAATTGGTAAGAAATTATAGTAATAGTAAAGAATTGCACTAAAAGGGGACCACCATACATTCCACCTTTGTGTCTTCAACAGTTGATTACGAATTCAACGCAACATACAAAACATATTCAACTCAAAAGAAGTACTTATGCAACTTCAAATTTGTCCTCCAAAATAGATATACTAAAAGATGTTAGATGCACCGTAATGTTCATCCTAAGATGTTGAAGATACTTACTGATTTGTTTTGGTACTTCCTCTCCTCACTTGAAAAACCGGGAATTGTCAAATGCCAATTTTTCTCTGCAAAATTAGTTCAAGCATTAAATTCCCGACCTCAATGAACTCCAAAACTCATAAAAAAGGTCGTACCCAGTGCACAAGGCTCCCGCTTTACGCAGGGTCTGGGAGAGGTAAATGTCGGCTAGCCTTACCCCCATTTATGGAGAGGCTGCTCCAAAACTCCAAAACTCATAAACACACAAAAATATATATTCATCCATAAATGAGGCTTATTTTTTATTTTTTTTTCCTTTCTAATAATAATAAAAAAAATTGATACCAACTTGGAAAACACAACCTGAGAAGTTATTAATCAAGAAAAAAATAACAGTGAAAGACGAGCGCAAAGAAGTGCAGCACAGGGGCAACCAGAAACCTTAATTCATTATTTTTGTAGATAAGTAGTTAAGTACATTGGTCTGTGCTATACAGGAACCAGTAGAGAGAATGAACACAGATTTGTTAATGATGAGACAGATAAGTTAAATTCGCTGATTATTTAGTATGTGTATTCAGAAACCTCTCGTTTGCATCCCATGTCAACTCAAATAAGATTTTTCTCTTAAGTATCAAATTAGGAGACCAGTACATTTATTATGCAACTTAATGGCTTAGAAATTTCCCAATTATCACAAGAAATATGGAGATGAGTTGTGGTACAGAACAAACCTAGGTGTAGCAACACATCCTTGGACTCTAAAGTTGAAGATTTTCTATGCTTTGCCAAATTGCATGCATATGTTGTCACCTGCAAATAGGCATAGGATAAACACTTAATGTCCATGTGTGCCATATAAAGCTTCATTTTATTTGGTCAGACATGCCAGAGAAAGCTTGACATGCAGAATGTGAAGTATCTATCAGCAGAACAAAATTAATTTGGGCCTATTTTGAGGCACGTCCACGTGTGTCTATTTATTTGAACCCAATCTAACAAGATGACTTGTATATCAACTGTTAAATTAAATGTGACCAATTGATATGTTTATCACTCATCTAAAGTTGTTCTACAGATATGCAAGGTCCTTAAGTTAGATCTGCAATTGAACGTCATTATATACACATATAGTACAAAAGTTAGCATGTCAAGCCTCACAGAATCAATGAAGTCATCAGCAATCTCCAAGAGAAGATCTTCAACTTCTGGATCCAGCCTTCCTTGAGAATCAACCTGGGCAGGAGAAAAAGGTTCTCACAATGACAAATTTATTTCTAGAGCACACACAACCCCCTCCCAACACACAAACCAAAAAATAGAAATAGCAGTTTAAATAAGGAATACCTGAGAGACTACATCTTGTATCTTTCTCTTCCCCAGAAGTTGGTTAGTTGCTTCTGTTCCTTGGCTTGAACTCCCTCCAGGTGTAGTTGTACCAGATGCAGTAGCATCAGGCTGTGATCCTGTTAAACTAAGAGATTTCTGGCCTGCGGGTACAGCCATCCTTGGCGAGTTCTGCTGCTGCTGTTGCTGCTGCGATTGTTGCTGCAGTGGCTGCTGTATTTGCTGCTGCTGAAGTTGCTGTTGATGCTGCTGCTGCTGCAGCTGTGGATGTCCCATTTGTTGCTGCTGCTGCTGTACAAGCTGGTTTAACTGTTGTTGGGTCGAGGGCATGGACTTTTGCAACTGATTAGAAGCCAGTTGCTGCTGAAGGAGAACCTGCTGCCTATGTTGAATGCGGAACGAAGGTGAGCCAGGGGCGGGAATTGTTGGCATTTGCTTCAACCACTGTTGTGAGAAAGAATTCTGCATCATTGCTGGCTGTCCATTCTGAGACACCGCAGATAGCTGAGGGTTCATAAATGCAAGTGAAGACGTTCTTGTCAAGCTCTGAACCTGTACTTTGTAAAGTCAGATCAAAATGTCCCAACCATAAATTGATATATCCATCAAAGACATGCTATAGAGTAACAGCATTGCCAAAGATTGTTAAAGTGTATAAATACATCTCTATCCTTCCTGCTAAGCAAAATGCCAACACTGTACCACCAACATTAATATGCCTACAATTCTACAAAAATACCCATCAAGGGGAAGTGGGTCATTACAGTAATAAGTGTACCGGTATGTTTAGAAAAGAATGATCAATTCCATTCAATAAAAATTGGAAAATGATCTTACGTACTGTTACAACTGATAAGTCTAATTTTAGATGCTACAAACAAATGACAACCACCACTAAAATAGAAAACGAAAAAGAAAAACATAATTTCTGGGCAGAGGAATTGAGGACTCTTGTAGGATACCAGCAGAGCAATTGAAGCTTTGAAAGGCTTCTTTGCAACTAAAATTCATGTAGCTTGAATAAAGTGTTTCATTCTCATTGGTCTCCAAGTACCAAAATGAATAGTAGACATAATTGCTTCCCCTGTTCCACATGATTCAATATAACTACTTTATAAGATTTCAGGAGTCAATAAAATGTCCTCAGAATGAAAGCAGCTAGCGCAAAACCACCACGCAACTTACTCAAAAGCAATATCCCAGATGTAAAGATCAAGCAGAGGTTTTGGCGATTTGTTTTAAGTTGGGTATGAAAAGCATGAATGACATCATAGTTGGGTATCCTGATTCATTTGTTACGTGCAGATCTTAATTACGGTTCGAAATCTCAATCAAACCACAGGCAAAAGGTAGAACAATTTTAAATCATAACACAATTAACATTGTTTGGCCAGTGGGTTCTGTCTTCGAACGGAGGAAAATTCACTAAGAAAACATGAAGGTCTGAATAATGGCCGTGTCACTCTTAAAATCAAAACTTTCTTAGAATCAGAAAGTGGAATTCCACAGTTTGAAACTTTGAATTTCCCTCCCAAACCTAAGAATAAATGACCTTCAATTATTACTTCAAACAGGTCAGACTACAGATATAGAGCCAAAAGAAAGTCGGCTGTCGCTGCACGAGCCCTTATTGCTTGCAGGGTCCAAAACCAACACATAAGTTTAATAGAATATGAGAAACTCAAGCTGTAGAAAAACTCATTATAAACCATAGCATGATCAGCAAGAATGAGTACTTCACATACCCGACATTGTATAACAATTTGCATTCACAAAGAAACTCAAAACAAGACAAACAAAGCAGTTGGTAGGATAAATTAGAAGACGCCTAAGTTAACAGATCAGGCAAGAGGAAAGTATGCAATTATACCTGTGCAGAGGTGAGCGAATTTTGTTGGGCCAATTGTTGCCTAAGTTGGCCCTGCCCCTGATTCATTCTCTGTTGAGCAAAAGAAGCAATGGCCCCATTAGCTCTTAGTTGAGAGCTCAAATTGATGGATCCCATCATCCCCATTGCTTGGGTTCCTTGTAAAGATTGCCCAGGAGAATTACCTTGATGAAATTGGGAACCTTGGACCAGACCGCCTTTTTGTCTCGGCTGCAGAAAGTTTACTAATTTTGTTAAACAAGAAACATTTCCATTCTCAAGAAAGCATTAAATTCACTGTTGTGCTAGCTTAACAGTGTCTAATATATTATGCAACAATCCAACAGCTTTCACTGATACACTAATATTCAATTCGGAATTCAAAAGGGAACTGGTATACCATATTACAATTAACATTGTTTGCATTTGATTGGCAATACTAATGATGATGTACTTTACCATGTAGCATAGTATATGATTAACTTGGTCTTAGGAAGTGTAGCATAACTATATCGAATGATTTTGCCCACATTGAAGCAACCGACTATGACGACATAACATTTGCAAAAAACACTACCAATAAACTTCTGTTGCTACTAAACACAACTTATTCCCATACCAAGTACTAAGCAAATGCACACTAATTATGCCACATTTCACCTGCCACAATCAAAAGATAACAGCCAATTTCATGAGGGCAATTAAACTCATACCGAGGCCAACAACTGCGGCTGCAGATTGAATTGCGCAGCTGCAACAGCAGCAGCGCCAGACAACATGGGCAGGTGGCCACTCTGCCCGATCAAGCCTGATCGCGACAAATTCCCACCGCCAATTTGCTGCGTCTGCTGTGCCGGGTTTTGCTGTTGCTGCTGCTGATTCTGCTGTTGAATACCACCAGAGCCACCAAAACTCACCTGCCCATACAAGCCCCCTTGCTGCCTCATCATACCAAAATGCTGCTGCTGCTGCTGCGGGTTCTGACTCAGCTGCTGAAGCTGGTTCATTCGGGACATCGACGGTGACCTCTGCTGGAGCTGGTAATTCGACATGGAATTCACATTCACGTTCTGGGATTGTTGCACCAATGACTGAGATTGCTGTTGCAGCTGCAGCAGCTGCTGCTGGGTAGATTTCTGCAGGTAATCCAATCCAACGGTGGGTGAAATGTGCTGGGTTTGAGGAAGAGAGATGTTAGGCATGGGAGGGAGAGGTGGGGATGCGAGTTGAGGAGATTGGGAGACAGTTGAAGGGGATGGGATTGCTTGATTTGCAGAAGGGTTTGCTGGGTTTTCTGTGATCATAATGTTTGAGGCTGATGCTGCTGCTGCTGGGTCAATACTGGGTTGGAGGGGGTTTGGGGACGACGATGGGCCGTTTTCCGCCATGTTTCCGAATTCGTTTGCTTTTCTGAGGAATTGGGTTTCTGGGTTTTGATCTTCGTGACGACCAAGACGTTAATTCATGGCGGATTTTTTTTGTTTCTGAAATTCGGGAACTTGAAGTTTCAGAGGGCTAAGCGAGAGAGGGGGCTTGAAGAAGGACAGAGAGAGAGAGAGAGAGAGAGAGAGAGAGAGAGAGAGAGAGAGAAGAGGAGGAGAGATCGAATCTGGTGCGTACACATCAGCAGAGGGACACCAATTGGTGGATCAACAAATCCTCTGCCTTCCGGTGAAAACAAATCATGGTAGATGGAAAATCTGGACCGTTTATCATTTCTATTTATAATAGAGTACACGGAATTTTTATACACTGGATTGTTGTATGTAGAGGTGGCAAATCAATCTATTGTGTTGTTAATGGATACCCATTAAGACACATTTAGTTTGATTTTACTTTACATCATCATCACTACTCTCAATCCTATCTCTATATTATAGTGATGTCAAATTAAACGCGTCTTAATGGGCACCCATTACAACCCAATGGATTAATTTGTCACCTCTAGTTGTTTGTCTTTTGTACCATACTTGACCAATCCCGAAACTACCAAGCACCGGTCAACTTCATACCTTCAAGGACCCACTGAAGGGGTCATGTTGAGGCACCCATGCTGAATCACAAGAGTTTCCCTCCACCTAGGAGGTCAATCACAATACGACACTTGTCAACGTCAGAATAAAGCTCCTAAAGTCCCACATCGACCACGAACGAAAGCTAAAGACTCTCCTCAACTATAAAAGAATACCATTCTCCTACAATTAATGGGGAATGTCATGATTGTATTTAACTAGTCATTAGAATCCACTAATGATGATTATGCTTGAATCTATGTATTTGTGTAAACCCTTCACTATTAATAAGAACGCCTCTTGGACGTAGCCAAAATTAGGGTGAACCACGTACATCTTGTGTTTGCTTCCCTATCTCTATCACTTTACATATTATCCTAACTCGGTGACCAGAGCAACCGAGCGAATGTCAAAACTTGACACTTTACATTGTTTCAAAGTCTCGCTGATTTTGTGCATTAACATTTAGCGCCATTTGTGGGAGCAACATTTATTCCTGCTCTCACCAGCTTTGTCAAGTTGGTTTCTTGTACACTCTTTTTTTATCAGGCATCCCTTTCTAACATGGAGAGCGAATGAAGCCACAGCATACAGAACGACACCTCCTCCTAGTGAAGGAAGGAAAGAAAGAAGTTTGCTCTTCAAGCTAAAGTCAACAAAATAACGATCAGGAACGAGATCCTCAAAAAACAGTATCAGAAGCTCTCTCAGATGCTCCATGAGGCTAGATAGACTCAGTCTCATGAGGCCTTCACCCCCGTGACTATAAATCACCAAATGGATACCCTCCTACGCAAAGGTTCACATGGGTGCTCTTAATGAGGAACAACCTTCTCACCAAGATATTAATCAACACGAGATTTCTCTCAACCCAGCTATTTCAAATCAAAGCAAAAGAAGAAGAGGAAGACATTTTTTGCAAAATGAATGGAAGGGTTAAAAGCTGTTTACCGTCACTGTCGAGACTTCTTAAGGTAGTGTCGACAAAAACATATCCACATAGGCTCAAGAATTAATGGCCCAAGGATCATCAAATGACTTATTTCCTTATTGCAACCCATGCTAGCCCCCAATCCAGGAAATGAACAAAAAGCCTTAGGGCAACAAAAAGGCGTAGGAGACTCAGGGGACTTTCAATAGGCATATTCTGACAGCCAGTATGTTGAGTCCAAGGAAAGGCCATATGTCCTAGACCAATCTTCCTTGCTTTCAAGAAATGATGGAAACTTACAAAAGAAAGCTTCAATGGTGCCTGACTCCACTCAGGATCCCATTATCATGCAACTTCTTAAGGAAGTGAACAAGCTAAAGGCCAAGCGTCCAGCTAGGATACCTGACTGAAATCAGCCAAGGTCAAACCCTTTGATAAGGAGGATCCTCTGTACCTATCTACAAAAAGAAATGAAACAGAAGCTTGGCTTGCAATCGTTTACTGGGAGGGAATATCCAATTGAACATATCCACCTCTTTGAATCCACCATGGCATACTAGAGACACAATGATGAGGAAAGATGTCTCATTTTTCCCTCCACTCTCTCGAACATATCCACCTCTTTGAATCCACCATGGCATACTAGAGACACAATGATGAGGAAAGATGTCTCATTTTTCCCTCCACTCTCTCTGTTGGAACTCTTAATTGGTATTGTCGTCTTCAACTTAATACGATACATTCCTTTGTCGAGCTAAGGAGACTCTTTATGGCTCAACACATCTTCCAAGTTGATCGATTACACTCTGCTTATGAGTTATACACCATTCGTCAGAAATCAAATAAGTCATTATGTGGATATGCCGATCGCTTCAACCACGAATACCCTTGTTACGTCGTGGCAGATGAAAAAATAGCACTCAAGACCTTCACGGTAGGCATGCGTGATTCTTCAAGTACATGATCAATGCTAACACTTAGAAGACTTACTTTGAAGTGATGACGCAAGCTTACAATCATGCCTTGACATTCCAATGGAATCCTTACATGGTAAACCCCTATCAATAAGTGAGGAGCGAATGTCAAGTTCTACCAAGTGAGAAGGTTTTGGCCATCCAGACACTCATTGCATCCCTTCATGCCCCACTTAGCAACCTGCTAGGTGACCAAGCCTATTTGCCGCTTGGCAAGAGGAAGAATTTTTACTCTCAGCAAGCTTATTACAACAAGAGGAATAAAGGTTCGTATCAAGACAATCAGGTGTGAACGTACCTTCAACTGTTATAACCATGGGGTCAAGCATTACTTTTTCAAAGTAGAGGACTGGTACTAAAGAAAAAGCTATTATAGAAAGGTATATGCATTACAAATGTTTTGACCTTTAATTGTTTGGCATCCTTTGTAACACAAGTCATTCGGCAAAATATTTAATGAAGTTGCAATTTAGATAATTTTGTCTAAGTCTTTTACATTCCTAACACTATAACACTTGGTCTAACTCTAACCTATCTTTATACTCTAACTTAGAGCTTCAACATACGTACTTCAACACCAAGTAAGTGAAACTAAGTGGTATAACCAACACGGTTATCATATCAAAACAATGGATTCCTTCATGCATAGCAAAACATTCATAAACAACATGTATGTCATGAACATCACTTATGTCAATCAACATAAACTTCATTCCCTTCAAAACATTCATACATAAGCTAACTGAGCTATGAAAAGGTGTCAAGATACCTTTTGTCCTTTCGGCACGTGCTACAATGTACCTCGGCAACTTACCGTTCTTTCCACCAACCAGGTGATGAAGAGTACAACCAGAACTCTAAGAAACAATTTTGAGTGTTGGCAACTTGCCATTCCTCTTGCCAACCAGGTGATGAAGGAACTCACCTTCATATCACCAACCAGGTGATGAAGAGCACAACCAATACTCTAATAAACAATTTTGAGTTTCGGCAACTTGCCACTTTTCTTATCAACCAGGTTATGAAGGAACTCACCTTCGTATCACCAACTAGGTGATGAAGAGCACAACCAGTACTTTAATCAACAATGTTGAGATTAACCAACTTCTCACTCTTCTTACCAACTAGGTGATGAATGAACTCACCTTCGTATCACCAACCAGGTGATAGAAGATACAACTAGTACTTTAATAAACTTTTTTGCTTCGGCAACTCACTACTCTTCTTACCAACTGACTGATGAAAGAACTTACCTTCTTTTCACCAACTAAGGAAGAAATTACCTTCTTTCAAGTAAAAAATTTTCAAGCCTTACAGCTCAGAAAAGGCATATACAAACTCAACAAAGCCTTCCACATTCTTGCTCAAGAGTGTGGAAGAAAAATCGTATTATATGGTTCAACGAACCTTCAACAACTAACACGTAGATTGTCTTCTACACTCTTGCTCAAGAGTGTAAAAGCAAAATTGTATTATATGGTTCAACAAACCTCTAACAACTACAACATGTAGATTGCCTTCCATACTCTTGCTCAAGAGTGTGGAAGCAAAATCTATTTATATGGTTCCTCTGAACTTTCAAGTACTACAACATGTAGATTGCCTTCCACACTTTTGCTCAAGAGTATGGAAGCAAAATCGTATCATATGATTCAACAAACCTCCAACAACTATATGTAGATTGCCTTCCACACTCTTGGGCTACATCCAAAAAAAAAAGGAGAGAATTTTTGAAGTCTTTTTTCCTCAATGACTCAGAATATCAAGCTACCTCCTTTGGCTATCCTCTTCGCTTGGAAATTTGGGAGACTCCTACTATATGCTACTACACTTTGATACTTAGAAGTTTCGTGATTACTCAGTGACTTGGATTTTTCAAGTCCCCAACCGAAGCTTTCCTCACTCAGGAACTTAGGGAAGCATTGTTTGTACCATACTTGACCAATCCTCAAACTATCAAGCATCGGTCAACTTCATACCTTCAAGGATCCACTGAAGGGTTCATGCTGAGACACCTCTGTCGAAGCACAAGAGTTTCCCTCCACCCAGGAGGTTAATCACAATACGACATGTGTCAACGTCATAATAAAGTTCCTAAAGTCCCACATTGGTCGTGGATGAAAGCCGGAGACTCTTTCAACTATAAAAGAAGAACTATTCTCCTACAATTATGGGGAATGTCATTATGTACTTAAACTAGTCATTAAAATCCACTAATGATGATTATGCTTGAACCTATGTATTGTGTAAACCCTTCACTATTAATAAGAACTCCTCTGCTTCGTGGACGTGGCCAAACTTAGGATGAACCATGTACATCTTGTATTTGCTTTTCTATCTCTATCCCATTCTAACCAGGTGACTGGAGCAACCGAGCGAATATCACAAATTTGACACTTTACATTGTTTCAAAGTCTCACTGATTTTGTGCATCAACATATGTCATGCATTGCACATCTTGTCTTCTATACACTGTAAATGAGACGATGATGAACTCGTTTCATTCAAGGTTAAAAGTTTCTTGTACGACGTACATTGTTGTATAGTAGAATTTTCAGAGACGCGGCTAAAGAGAAAACCAAACTGTTTTTCTCTTTTACATAAGGTGGAACTCATACTATTATGCAACCATGTATAATTTT